TTCAGAATTTATGAGCAAGATTTTTCAATATTATAGTTTTGATGCATGATAATGTTTCAACTATCTTTACTAGAACTAATGTCTTATAAAAAATATATAATTACTTATAAGAACATTTTTTTAAAAAAACAATTATGTATATAGATTTATAAATTATATTATTAGAAAATTATTGTAAAAAGTAAAATATATCATTAATAAAAAATAAAAATAAAAAAACCTTTAAATATTTACTATACAATATCGAATGTTTACAAAAAGAAATTTTATCAAGTGTTTATGTTCAATTACTATTTCAATCTTTAATAAAATTGTCCTTAGTTCTAATCTGGCTGGCTTCGTTCCACATCAAATTTGTGTTGACTGCCGTTTTTTTTATACTGTATACAAGTTTTAACAGTTGGTTAATAAACTTAGTGTAGTGTTCTTGCAGAATGCACCTACCAATGCTTTTCAGACGCTGATCCAAATTCAATGTATTCAAGATTCAAAGAAGTTAGCGTAAATGTTTTTGCAAAGTGCATCCATTAATGCTTTTCCTCCTCTGATCCAAGACTATAATCAAAATATTTAAGGAAATCAGAGTGATATTTTGTTAAGTACATCTTTTATTGCTTTTCGTTCTTCTGATCCAAGATTGTCAAAAAGATTTAAAAAAAGTCAACGTAGTATTCTTACAAAGTGCACCTATTAATCTTTTGTTAATAATATAGTTGAGTGTTAAGCATTTAAGATTTTTACTTGCATTCGCAAGTTTATCTTTATCCATTCTAAAATAAAAAAACCATCATGTTCTTTTTAAGTTCCTTTTCAGTTGCAGGTTTGGAAGGTCAATTTTAAAGGCAATCGATAGAACTTGTTATTTAGCATTTAATATTAAAAGATACACTCTTATAAGTCTTCTATTACTAGGAATGATTTGTAGCTTTACTCAGTTCCATTGACGTCAAAAAAAATATATTTATGTGAGTTATTAATAAGCTTAAAAAATATAAAGCTAGTAAGCAACTTGCTTAAAAATGATGGGTGGCGCTTCTTGTCACTCATTTTATTCAGTAATTTAAAAAAATTAAATTTTAAATGTTGATAAAAATATTTTAAGATTATAAATATTGATTAAATTGAAATAATATGTGTTGCGTGACAGTAAATAGTAATAATAGAAATTATGCAATAGTAGATATCATTAAACGAAGATACTATCCTTATTATTTACTCTAATAGTTAATATAAGATAATTCAAAACTTTGTAACATTAATTATTGGTATATGGTCTGCCGTCAATAGAAATCAAGCAAATTAACATTTTTAAAAAAATTGATACCTTAAATTTCATATCTTATATCTCGATGAATTTCGAAACTATTTTAAAATTTTAATAGTCAAAAGAAAAGTTTACGATTCCAATAGTTAACTATTGAAAACTTCGAATTTCATCAATGTATTAGCTATTAATCTTATGGTATCTTTTTTTAAAAAAAAAAACTTGATTGGTTTGATCCTATTAACAGCAACCTATATGTATCAAAATTATGGTATGTCAACAATGTTAAAATTAATGATGCCTGTTGAAACTATTTTTGCAATAATGAAATAGCTTTGTCAATAGTTTCTCCTGTAGGAACTTTGAAACTCTTGATGAAATTAATTTAATTAATAAATATTCCAAGTTTCATATTTCATTGTAAAGATTCTCGATGTTTCTTTATCAGACTTACTGGACATCCTTATGTTCAATGTAAGATTCAAATAGATATAAATAATTATTATTATAGGCAAAGTTTCATTCTCTCCATGCTAATTAGAATCCCAAGGCAGATTTAAATACTCATTTTCTTGGTATTTTTCATTTCCTTCACTTTGCGCATGTGTCAACTGATCTAAAATATAGTGTCATGGGTTAATGAGGTGAAACAGATTGTCACTGCTGCCATGTAATGTCGCTCAAAAGTTTGGACGAGGTGGTTATGATTTGGCACAGGTTAAGGTGGCTTTTGAGCACATTACCAGATAAGAATAATGTCTTTAAAGAACATTTATTAATTAGTGGCTTAAAGAGGTTTTTATTAACAAGTTCTTTATTACATAAGGAAACAAACTTCTACTCTCTTACAAAAGGAAAATTTCCACTTCTAGTTATAATAAATTCTACTGTAAGAAGATATGTACAAGACCGTAACTTTTATCCTTTATTTTTATTGAATACCAACTCGTTTCACCTTATTTGTACTAACCTTTAAACCTTTTATACTAGGGGTCTGCAATCCGGGCTCGTGCCTATGCCCAACAAAAATTCAAGCATGGGCATGGACATGAAAGCTTTGGCATGGGCATGAACACTAGTATAAAAATTTGCATAACATGGAAACAGGCACAAAATTTTGGCATAGGCATGAGCACAGGCACGAAAACTTGGCATACATGGGTATGGGCACAAAAAATTAGTATTTATTAATTAATTATATGTTTGGTACTATTTGACACTTGTGCCTGGCACTTTTTGGCATCTTTTTGCCCAGCATATTGTTCCTATGCTTATAAAGTACCTGACATTTGTACCCATGATTATAAAAATGCCTGGCATTTGTGCCCATGCCATAATAATTACTGGCACTTTTGAGCCTATAGGTATGGGTATGGCATGAGGCACTAGTGCCTGTCATAGTGCCAATTTGCCCGGCATGGGCATTTGCAGAGCCCTAATTTGGAATTTAAAAATCCTATTGCTATTGGCTGATCATCTTAATCCTAATTTTAGTATCACAGAATTTTCGTATTAATATATCTATTTTTACTTCATCCGTGAAAGGTTGTTAATTAGAACTTACCATTGTTGTTATTCGTATTATTCAAAGCACAAACAAATTGTAATTGGGTGTAGTACATAAGTATGCACGAATTCTACTCTGGAATAAATTACCATTTAAAGTTTGCATACATCGGCTGTTTATCTTTCAAATTGAGAAATTCAATGAAAATTAAAATTTTTCCTTATGCAACATAAAAATGTATCTTGTGTTTGGTTCTGAATTCATGTTCAAGAATTAAGCAAAATAATTATTATATACTGGAACGAAGATTGAGTCACGACTATCATTAAGATAAATCCATTTTTAATAATGTAACAATAGTCAGATGCAAATTTCACCATTAAGGTAATGCTTAGCAATTTTTATTAATTTACATTCAATCCATTATTATGTTTCTATAATTTTAACTATGCCTGAGAACTTATGTACGTACATACAAGCATTGTGGTAAAACAAATAAAAGCCAGTTCTCAATGACAATCATGACTCATGTTTTGCCATTGTCGGCACTATTAGTGGCTCATTGTTACACGATTTTTTTTTGTGACATGGGTTAATTTTAAAGCATAATTTGGTAAGGTAGTGTCACTGTCAAACCAGAATTGTAGCCACAAATAAATAACATAACGTCAAATTTTGTATCCATTGCCACTTTGGGAAATCAATATCAGATTTTTTAATTTTCCATCTTTAAGCACGATAAAAATTATATAAAGGCATGGAATCCTTCTCGTTAATATTCAATTCAACACTAACATTTAACAAAGTATTAAAAGTGTTTATTTTAACAAATTTGATAACTATAAACTTTCAATAAATTAAAGTTCTTTCTCAATTCGTAATTTCTACTGATCAACAAAAATGTCTGGTCTTACGTTACCTCAATTATTCGTTTATCCTATTGCCGGTGTACAAGTTGTCACGGTAAAAAGAAATTCATCTGTACCCTATATTCCTCCAGAAATTATTCGCATTATTCTGGATTTATTAAAGGATGATAAAAAAACTCTCGCTGCTTGTGCTTTGGTTAACCATACTTTTAACCTTTATGCTACTCCGATTTTATATCATACTGTTGCATTTACTTTTCCTCATACGTTTACACTTTTCGTTAATGCCACGAATGACATTAAAAGGCGTTGTTCTAAAATGGTTCGACACTTAGATCTCTCTAG